AAAGAGTTTTGTCTTTTACAACGAACGAAAATCCTGCTTTGTCAAGGCAGGATACAGAAATGATGTTTCTGCTCATACTGGGTACAAACAGACAATTATTTAACTGCAATACAAGACCACTAGGTAGAGATAAACTATAGGTTCCGACGGCTAATGCATTTACGAGTGCGCCATTGCCGACTTTTAGTTGTATCTCTCCCTCCGTCAATTGTCTACGTTCATGCAGATCCTGCATAGAAGTACAGATGTGAGAACCACATCCAGTATCCATCACCCAAGAGGTGATATCAGACATATTGACTTCAATAACGAAGATACCTGAGGTTTGAGGTTTCTTTCCCTCTTTCCTCTCTGCCAGTAATTTTGCGCAGTTGCGCCTCCAGTGGCCCTTTTTGCCACAATAATAGCATACAGCAGACTTCTTCTTAGCTCCTTCTTTGGGTTTCAACGAAGAGGAGTTGGACGCTGGCTTGGGTTTCTTAGAACCCTTGCGCTTGGTCCCGGCCGGCGAACGTGGCCCACTCTTCTTCGCAATAGTACTGCCCTCTACCATCAGGACAGACTTACCCTTGCCCTTCCCTAGACTCTCCTCAGCAGTTGTGAGGAATTTCAGTAGCTCAGGCATAGTCATCTCTAGTTTGTTCATGTAGAAGTTCACTACAGTTTGACTATACTTAGCTGGTAATGATCCCAAGATGAGATCAGTTGCCAGCATAGGGTGCAACGGGGCGTCCAGTTTTTCAAGAGTTTCGATCTGACCGATCATCTTGAGAACGTGGGGACCAACTGGGTTACCCGTTGCCAGCTTACTGAAAACAGAGTCGTAGAGATTTTGAAACGCTCATGTCTAGCTTGGCCTTGGTATAGACCTTTCAAGCGAGTCATCATAGGATGAGCTTCCATGTCCTTATGGAGCCTTTGGAGCTCCGGAGTCATGGTGGCTAGCATAAGACATCTCACATCACGTGCGTCATCTTCATACTTCTTGTACGAAGTAATTCCTGCAGCACGAGTGTTTGCTTCAGGAGCTTTGGGAGGCTCAGAGGTAAGGACGTAGAGCTTTTTCTCGCATTCGAGAACAATCTTAAGATTCATCTCCCAATCAAGAAAGTTGGTTCTAGATAATTTTTCCTTTTCTAGAACATATCGCAGGTTGAAAGGGTTGTTGTTGTTTGCCATCTACAGAAAATTTTGCAAACTAGGTTATCTATCATGTTTAATAATTAATTAGGCCTTTAATTTATTATCTCCCACTATTTTTAACAAATCAATAACCCTCGATATTGATTCGGAGATTTCCGGCGAAACCTCTAGTGGGCCAAGATCCATATTTCATTATCTTGCGTTCCGCTTGGGCGTTACTCCACAAGACAATTATTTAGGTAGGAACATAGTTCCAACTGATGAGCCGGGCTCTCAGCTCTTGGTCTGGTGTTGGGCGAACAATATTACTACAACCGGACCAGGACACCTTTTGACCGTACTTGTAATTGGCTGAGGCACGTCTTACAAGCAGACTACTTTGGTTAGGAATAGAGTTCCAATTAAATCATAAAGATCCAACTCCTGGCTGGATGAGTGAGTAAAATCATCCGACTTGTCATTGATGACCCGAACTTACTGCCTCTAAGTCGTCCATCCATTTGACCGAGACTCAGTTAAGTCTAACCCAACGTGCGACAGCGACCACGCTATGGCGGTTCCCGTAACCAGCTTAAGATACACCGTACTATGCTCTGCTGAGGCTGAGTATATGACAGTGCACATTAGCCGGATAGGTGCCGGGCGTCAGAAGGCGACAGACTTAATATTCGTGAGGGATTTATAATTTCGATCTCACCTATCGACATGGCCGCGCACATGTCCATTACTAGCGTTCAACATACATTCAACATGCATTCACAAAATGCAGTAAATAAACGTGTAATGATTGTGGCCCCTAAAAGAAAAATAAAACGATAGCTCCCACTGGCTTCCGGTCACTTGGACTTCGGGCTATCTCCATTCTTTTAGATTTCTTCAAACGGTCTTCAAATCTTTTCGTCTTCTAACCACCACGTAAGAAAAGAATCCTCGGTTGAGGTAAGGGAGAGAAATAGATTTACAACAAGAGTTTATGAGATAAGGCACGACACGCAGGCCGTATTATAATCAAATAAACTATAGCCACAATCATCCACCATGCATATCATACATCCACACAAGCAATAGAGATATACATACACCGGGTGAACCGCGCTCACCCCAGACAGTTCTAGAAAAATACTACGG